GTGAGTACTTTCCTCGGTCTGTTTGGGATTTTTGTTTATTACTACTTCTAACAAGCATGCATTCGGTCAATTCTTGGATGGTTCAGGAAGAGCTAGTTAGGTGATGACGACACTGGTGAAAAACGCAMTGCGCATGCCCACAGCTTTCCCGCCAGTGAGCGCTCGCGTCTTGAAATCTTTAAACAGAGCGCCTGAGCATGCTGAGCGCCTGGCGATTTACAGCGACAACACAGAAAACACAACGAAAAACCTCATTTTCTCAAAATAGAAATGACAAGATAAAAATAGAAACTACATACTAAAAGGACCTATCATGAACAATGATTGACGTAAATATGAATCTTATATATCGGTGAACGAGCTTATAAATTGTAAAAAACTTTCGCAAAAATCGCTTTACAAAGGAAATTAGGCAGATTTCAGCGGGAAAGCTGTTGACATGCGCAGTGCGTTTTTCATCAGTGTCGGTGATGACTATATTGATTCTCTCAAATCCTGAACCATATTATTTAAACCTAAGCCCAATATTAATCGCAAGCCTAAACCCAAACATAAAAACAAATGTCGTGTGAAAACGAAACACAAGCGCAAGAACACACAGCAAGAGATAACCCTAGTGCCAATGTGCTTGCAAGACTAGCACTAGTATTTTCATTGGTCGAGACACTGCGTCTGCGTTTCGTTTGCACAGCCCAAAACTTAACCGCAAGAGAAGGAAACATTTTGATTCTTGTGTTTCGGTTTAAGTTTGTGTTTGCGTTGCCGTTGGGTCGGTTTTCACGATGTTTATGAGCATTGCGCACTTGCGCTTATTTGGCTTACGCTTMAGTCGYAGTGAAAAACAGTCTTAAACAACCATAGCAATAGTTTTCACTTGTTCTCAATCACCAAATACAGAACAACCTTCCCACTAAATACTGTATAGCCGAACTATAATACTATTCATAATACTTTCTAATACTATTTGTAAATATATCCAGTTCTTTATTTTTATAAATTATATTCTAATCTATTATATCAAGAATAATTCAAATTAATTGCGGGTAGCAATATTTCTTTGTATTCATCTAACTTAAATGTAAATAAAGTATTGTTTTACTGTATATATTTCAACAGGCGGCGATTCCCAGGGGCCAAGGGACCTATTGTGATGATAAGTTGATCATTCCTCCCGTGAGGGCCCGACGCGGGCGCCCTGTTTCCYTGCCTACAGTAAACATATCCGTCTGAAAGATTGGAAACTTTTATCCACGATATGGGCGGRTTCCTTATAGCTTTAATTAAGCTGTAATCAAAGACATCTTTTTGTATCTGTTGACTTTTATAGCCTCATGATAAATTCTCGATCGTTTTCTTCGATAAAATATTATTTTGTTAATTACTCTCATTCGCCTGTAGTTTTGCAATACAACCGAAAGATTTATTTGTATTTTAAAGTTTTTTTCCTGATTCTTTATTAATTTTATACGGAGTTTTATTCATCCTCTTCGATTATTAACATTATATCTACTTTCATAATTATTTGATAATCATTATTTATCCATTTGTAAACATTTTATCGTCAAGAAAGAATTAAAATGTGGAATGTTCGAAAATTCGGTGTGCCGTTGACTCCCGGCAAATCTTTCTGATCTTTGGCAACAGCTATTATCTGCCTGGTCTGTAAACTTAATAATTTCAAGAGATTTTTTGTCGTGCTAGCTGTTTATCGGAATACTAGCCTGTCTGATTAAGAACTGTACACCTTTTCCTGTGGTGATTTGGAAAACAATAACAACAACTGTGAGCAACTTGGTGAAAGCCGTCATAGTTCATCGAGTACATCGGTATTCGGCCGCAAACCAGCACTCACTACCCATCCCCACCCCCATCAAATAATAAATCCACTGAAGAATGATTATGCAAACCCTGTATCGTTTGCTAATTCCTGAGCTGAGCTCTGATTGGATCGCTGTTCCCTAAGGATTTTGGTGACGGCATAAATTAGCATAGAACTTCGCCGAATAGACTACCCCCATTACTTATTAAATATCTATAAGTGTCTTCATAGTACGATGGTCTAAGAGGGTAGCTAAAGGTATGCTCTAGTGGGCGGCTACCCCCTCACTCCCTGGCCTTTTGGTTAAGACTAAGTTTTATGTTCACTCGGGATAGCGTGGAAGAGCCGAAATCTCTAACCGTAACGTAAGCCGATTCGACGCCTCAGCTTCATAGAATGTCTCGGGGGAATCGTCCCATCTTTTTAGATTTTTATTTTCATTATTTCTTATGTATGCCCGGGGGGGTTACACCTTCTACTGAAGTGAAAGTCCCGAGTTCGAGTCCTGCTGCTGGAATTKCTCTTTTTTGCTTGTTTCTTTTTCGTTTATTTCTTATTTTGTTTCCTTCTTTCTTTTTTTCTTTTTGTTTTCGTTTTTTTTCTTTGTTGTTGTTAATTTGTTTGTTTGTTTGTTGTTGTTGTTGTTTTTTTGCTAGAGATTTTCTCTTTTCAACTTAAACACACCAGGGACTCGCAAGGAACGCCTGCTACAAATGGATGGCTACTGTTCGTCAGTGAATACGCATAATAAGGCCTTTCGTCACAAAAACGGCTCGTAAATAATAATAAAAAATATATCTAAAGGAAAACATAAACATGACTGCAACAACTATATTTGAGTTTAGAATTAATAAATAAATAAAAAAAATTAATTTTTAGATGTCTCGAGGATCGAACCTGGTGTCCTGAGTTCGCTAAACTGCGCCGTCGTTTTTTCATATTAATGCGGTCGTTTTTCATAATGTTCAAATGAATTTCAAGTATAGTAAGAACTGGCTGCTAGAATGAACAGTTCATAACAAAATACTATTGAAAAAAAGTTCATAGCAAAGAATTTTAAAATAAAAAAAAGAGAGAAACACCGTCCGAAATGGTAAACTAAGACTTTTAAACACATGACTAGAACCATATCGAAATGTAAGAAAATGTTTTAGGTATTCAAAAATAGTCAAAAATCTCATATTTGMATGCATAAACCGAGTTACGTAGTCCTACTAAATCTGCTAACGCGTTGCCATGCACGTTTACCACCCAATTCAAATCCAGTGCGAAAAAGAATTTGTTGCTAACAATTAAACTATGAAATGAAAATACAACGAACAATAAAACTTACTCCCGRGTGGTTTGAATTGGGTGGAAACGTTTATAGCAACGCGTTAGCCGATTAGGTCGACYCCTATGATTTGGGTTTCCTGTGGTCGTCATTCCCATGACTCATGCGTTTTGCAAGCTGTGTTCGAGTGGCAGTGATTTCTGCTTCCAAACCTTTGAGACACCTCAAAAACATTAGCAATATGAGTTCCAAAGAAGGACACACACAGTATGCAGCTGTTTCCTGCGATGATAGTGAGAAATGGGGCTACAGCGAGGCAACTATTAACCGACTCTTCGACATTCATCGTCAAGATGGCGAGCAATGGACAGCTTTCCACGCAGCTCGTGGTCAGGTACCCACCATTGAAGACTTGAAAAAATACAAAGGAATCATAATCTCAGGAAGCCCAAAGTCTGTCCATGACGACATTGATTGGATTGTTCGTCTTCAGGAGTTTATTCAAAACGCTGCAAGTCTACAAGAAGGAGACGACGAAACTTCACCAAAAATCATTGGAGTTTGCTTCGGACACCAACTCATCGCTAAAGCTTTGGGCGGAAAAGTTGAATTAAACCCTGATAAGGATTTTGTACTTCAAACYGAAGAAATTAGAGCAGTAGAGGGACAAAAAGATTCAAAATTAGTGAAAGATTTGTTCAAATCTGGTCCACTTCGTGTAGTCGAATGTCACAGTGAATGCGTGACAGAGATACCCAAAGGAGCTGTCACGCTGGGTACATCAGTGTCATGCAAGCACGAAGTTGTACAATATTCGAAGAATATTTTGGGAGTTCAATCTCATCCAGAAATGCTACCAGAAGAAGCTGAAAGACTAGTTCTCCCAGCTATTAGTAAGAGATATAATTGGAGCGAAGACAAAATTCAAGAAGTCGAGAAATCTTTTTCTTTGAAGATTGATTTGAAAGCACAACCTATGAACAGAGTCATGAAATCATTTTTGAGTGAATAGAAAACACAGGGAGCCCGTAAAATCATCTACTGCCGAATAGTACAGGTTTGATCAATGACATGGTAATAATCAACACATTTTTGTTCTTTCCTGGTGAAATAAACCATGCGGGATGTTGGGAGAACACGAAAAAGGCTWCACTTTCACGAAGTAAGTCCCCTTTAGAGTTCTATTCTTTCTCTTTCTGAGTCTAAAGAGAGTCCGACWTGTAGCAAGTCTAGAAAAAGGCGTAGAAAATCTTGAGCCGGAGGTAAGGAACGCACGAAAATGTGTTGTTTGTTGCCTAAAAAACACACTTCCTTATATTTGTATGCACTGGTACCTCTAGTGATCGAGTGATCAACTTTAAGATTTTCTGACAACTAAACAGATGTGTCAGAAGAAAATAGAACAAAATCAAGAATTTGGACTTTTTATGATGGCATCTGTACAGAGGGTGACTATTGAATAGATGACCACTGGTTAACAGAAGTAACACTGCATGGYACACACATTCACACTAAAAATACGCACAAAGGTTTTTCATTACAATTTTTGTGATTATCTTTCTTAACAGGGAGCAGAGGAGTGCAGTTGTTTGCTTTGTTTAAYATTTTTTATGTTAGTGGCCCCTGTGTTTCCTTTAATATGGAATTTCTATGACTGTAAGCAGGGAACCAGTTTGACCATTTAAAACATTGAGTCACTTGGAGAGCTGTTTTAAACCTCATGCAGATTGTCTGTGAATATTATATATTGCTTATCATATGCCAACGTTAGCAAAAGCATATTTTGGTTAAAACGTCTAGGTGAGGTATTGATGAATTTGATAAATTATTATATACCATTTAAGCCATAATATTGTTGCTAGTATATTAGCAAAAATGTAGGTAAAGTTTCTCAATATGCCAAATATGCTTTTGTCTGCATCTCTGTTCTCGTCTGCTTCCTGTGTTTTATAGAATACTAATAAAATGCACCTTAGTGAGAGCACAAAGCGTCTCTTTATTTTTTTATCATGATCAGATATAAAATATATAAAGATGCAAAAAAAAAAAAAGATTAAAAAAATAAAACAGAGGTCGTTCTCCGACTTAATAGCTGGTATTTCTGTTTTGAAGACTTCCGCATTTAATTTCAGAGAATGGTAGAAAATTRAAAGGCGCGCGCGTAACTTATCGTAGAAGAACATTGATATTTGGAAGGGAAAAAAAGAAAAAGAAAAAGAAAACGAAACATGATCGCTTTGGTATGCTTCTATGACTTGGGGTAACATTTCCTTTCCCATTYCTTGTAAAGGCTACTGRTAGTTTTTTGTTGTTGTTTGGCACTTTTAAAAAMATTACAAAAACAAGATTGGACGCGAAGTCAATGGGATGAATAGATGGAATAGCCRGAAAGAAGAATGCGAAATTCATGAGCAACGCAGTTGATTCAAAAACCCATGAATAATATACAATAATATTGCGTGTATCCGTAATCTGGGTTTTAAGAACCCGTTTGGCTAAAATTTTCATTACAAGTCCCCTCGATATAAGAACATGTATTGAGTAAAATTATAAGTTAAGCTACTATTAGTGGGATTATTGTTGGTTGTGAAAGCGTTTAGGTAGAAACTGCTAATAGTAAAGGTAATATATTTTAGGTTATATTTTATTATTCAATGATATTTATAATACATTTACATGAAATTCATATGAAGAWAGACTATTCAGTCTATAATCTTGCGTTAACTACCGTTTTATAGACTAAACGCTCTTAATACACGCAGCCTCAGTAATGAGTGTAATATATCCATATCACGTTTTTTTACCTCGGTCGTTTTATTGCAGTCTTTTTTTCGACACTTTTTCACGGATTTTGAGAAGGCCGTTTCCGTCCAGACGGAATTCAAGACGTCGAGATGGATGACGTCATGTGCGCAACGGTGTGTATACTACTGTCGTGYATGTTTTCTGTTGAAATCTCTTGTCCCTTATAGTTTGATACGTCGTTTTACGGTATGTTATAGCCTTAAAAGATTATTACGATAGACGCTTATTATGCACAATTTTGCAGTAATTTTAAGCCCCAAATCAGCYGAGCCATTTTCAGCAGACTTAATTCCTCGACTGGCTTTCTAAAGACTTACAATAGTCGGTCTCATTAAAAAAGTGTACCTCTCCAGTCTTTCTAATAATATGTGTAATCATTATATGCGACAACCATTACTCGCCTGAGTATATTTATTGATTCATTTAGTTTTTATTAATAAACTTTAGTACCCTCTACTCTAATGCTTTTAGTTGTRTCTATATTTGATTTATATTTTACACCTTAAAACAGTTATCAGAATTTTTAAGTCAGGGTTTTTAAAATGTTTTCAATCTATAATAACAGATGATTGGATTTTATAAGTCCGTGAGTTCCCCCTTTTCTYCCCCGCACGTTTCTTTGCTTTTGAATCTTGCATTCCCCTTCCTTTGTTACAGTTTTCTTCGTAATTTTTTTTTTGAATCCATTACATAATTCCAACACTGGTGTGCGCGTTAAACGTTACATTTTAGTCATTTCAATAGTCCACTTCCTTACACTCTGTTTTGTGTGTGTGTGTGTTTTTTTTTTAATCCACTGCATAAGTCATACACTGATGTGCGCGTTAAACGTTAAATTTTAGTCACGCTGTAAAAATAACAGCTTAGGAATGTGTTTTTTAAGTTAAGAGCGCCAATCGTTTTAGACGAGTCTATGGCGCCTCTCAGTTATATTTGATTTTTATATTGTATGTGGGCCGATATGTTGGTCCGTGTACACTCTATGGGGTGATTAAACATTCAGCCAGCCAATTAGAGTTGATGTATTACAATCCTTATGAATTTTGTTTGTGATCCTGTCGGCGTCTTTTCAAAATCTTAAAAGGCTCATAGACTAGAGTAGTGAAATAAATAAATAAAAACTAAAATGAATGGCTAAATCGCCAAGCCAATACACACGGGCACAACATACAGTAATCAACAAACCAAAATGAAAGCATGGAACTTTCAAAGCAAAATTTTGAATGGTAAATTCCTTTGTTTGCATTAAAAAACATCATACGTGTGTAGAAATCCCTGAGACAAGTGTCCATATTCACATAATAGCGCAACATTTAAAGATAAAATGCATCAATGAACAGCTGCTGAATGTGAAAAACTTTGAAGCGAAGCTGATGACTCGGTCGGTGTTTATCTATTACGGTGATCGTAAGACGCGCATATACACCAAATCTTTGAATCACAATATTTCAATCTTTGGTGAAAAATACGCCCGATTAGCGGGCTGTAATAAAAGAACAACTGAAATGCCCCAAAGTGGTCAAAACAGACACATCGTCAAGGGCCTCGTTGGTGCCGCGCTCGACGACATTTCGCCCACCTGTGCACCTCGGCCRGTTAATAACACAGAACAACAGAATATAATGTCCACAGTAGCAGCTCGTTGAAATTGCTTTACTAATAGCGTTTTTCTTTGAAGTGGACTGTTCAAATTTGAGAGACCCTTTTATTGTTCAGAACCTTTCGATGGATTTCAAAGCCACAGGACCGCTGTGTCGTATGTACTCTCAAGGATCTCTTAAGCGTCACTATATGAATTTATAAAGCGTTTTGAAACTATCTTTTATCTGCATATATATGCGTATGTATTTTTGTACTCTTAAGAATTCTGAAATGGTATCAATGAGCCCGACAAGCTGACTAGCTAGTAACCGTTGGCTAAKGTAAGGTGTGGCCAACCTTGTTATGGATATATTGYCCCCTTCGCCTTGCGGTGATTACTATACAAAATAACCAGGATATCTTTAAGGACGGGTTCTTTTTAATTCAATACAAGATCCCTTATCGAGAAATGCTTTTTGAAATTCCTCTATTAATGGAAAGGATTGTGAAATTTGCCGCTTTCAATCGACATTACTTCATAAACTCGAGCAATAGCACTTCTGTCAAATCGTGTCGGAATTTGAACGAGCAATCGCCTAATTGCAAACCGCGACCGCCAATCGATGGCTTCTTTAAAAAAGCCTTTATCCAAACATCAGTCTTAGCGGAAATCAACCATCACTGGCGATATTCGGAGCGGTAACCTCCCACTTTGACCCAAATTAAACTGCACAGTAGCCGAGCAAGGAAAAGTGTTCCCCATGGCGAACACTGCCATTTTACCAGAATTCATATGTTTTTCGAGTCCATCCGGTTTCCAGTGACATCAAACGAAAAACACTTATTTCTAAATAGAAATGTTTTTCAAAGGAATATGAATACATGAAAATTGTATGACTGGCAAAGATATGGGTATAAGCATAGATTTGCCGCTAAATATTGGGGTTTTTCACGGACCAGTAATATTGGTTGAAAATTCTCACTCTTGTTCTGATGTAATTGTGTTGGATAGCTCGATTAACGAAATGAAATTAGCTCAAAATCATGGTTTCAGCTAGACAGAATTTTTGACTTAGCAAATCTACATATATAGAGCCTCAATTTGTTGCCGCTATTGTACAGGACTTCCGGTTGTCAAATGAGCTCAATATAAGACACCCTCACCCCTCCCCGGACATTACTAAACTGACAACTAGCTGTCAGATCAAATTTCTTCCTAAAAAATTCCTACAACGATAGCATCTYCATGKGTATCATTTTGAAAGAAAACTAATAGCACAATGTYAATTTTTGTAGGATTTTYAGAGGGTTTTTGAGGTTAAAATRTTATGGATGGTTTTTCCCGGTAAAGTTACTGATGGAGGGAGGGTAGAGKACATTTGTTATGTTACCTAGAGGGAGGTTCAATGTATTGTAGTTGTCCATAGCCACGTGCGACATAAATAAGGTTTTAGCGCCATCTGTGTGACAGTTCATTTCACATTAGAATTTTTGACGTTTAGTTCGGTCGTTTCAGTTCATTTGGGTGACCCCGTATAATTAATTCGTTCGGTTTTTTAACTCACCACCATCTCAAGCCATTCAGTTCCCCTACATCCAAGACTATGATGCTAGATATCATGAATGAACCGGCACAGCACATGGATGAAGACCCGTGTATCGAAGACGAAGTTGTAATGGAAAACGGAACCACAGACGAAAAAACAAATCTGATCATCAACTACGTCCCTCCGAACATGAGTGAAGCAGAGATAAAGCAAATGTTTAGTTCAATGGGAACTGTCACAAGTTGTAAACTTATACGAAATCGCAATACTGGCCAAAGTTTGGGATACGCTTTTGTAAATTACGAGAAGGCTGAAGAAGCGTTCAAAGCCGTTGAAGAAATGAATGGAGCAAGGCTGCAAAATAAAGTACTAAAAGTAAGCTTTGCTAGACCTTCGTCGAATGAAATCAAAAACGCCAATTTGTATATCAGTGGGCTTCCAAAACATTTCAAAGAAGAAGATGTAGATGGTCTGTTTAGGCCTTATGGCAAAATAATAACGTCAAAAGTTTTGAAAGATGTGGATGGTGAAGGCCGGGGAACAGGCTTTGTGAGATTTGATAAACGCCACGAAGCCCAATCGGCTATAGACGAATTGAACAACCGAACTTTACCTGGAACGTCCACAAAAATCACTGTGAAATTTGCAAATCCTCCTAACAGTAGACAGCCACAATTCCCGGCACAATCAGCAATCCCTTCGCCATTAAGTCGAGCGCTCACCCCTCAAAGAAACTTTAGTGGCGGGCCGGTACACCACCAAATGTTGAACATGAGGTACTCTCCTCTAAGCCCGACTGGTTTCGGTTCATCCTCATGCCAGGCGTCATGTCATAATAATTCTACATCACCTACAAGTCCAGCGAGTCCAAATAGCTTTGAGGGTCTGACAGCTCAAGGCTGGTGTATCTTCGTCTACGGATTGCCGCAAGACGCCACGACTCTCTTTCTGTATAAATTGTTCAGCCCTTTTGGAGCAATAACAAACGTTGAATTGAAAGCCGAAAAAGGCTATGGTTTCATTAATATGAGGAGCTACGATGAAGCGTATACAGCAATCTGGTTTCTCAACGGTTCATGTCACAAAGGAAAAGTACTGCAAGTCTCCTTCAAAACTTCAAAAAATAACAAACAACAGCGAAGTTGAGAATATCGTCTTTCTACTCGGCGCGAGAGTAAAATTCAAGCCAACAGACCTAAATTCTTCAACTCCTTGACGTGCAAAATAATGCACAAACCGTCATTCTATTGATTGAACTTTTTTTGTCCTATTTTTCTCGTTTGTTTTGAGGGTTGTCATTCATTTATCATGGTATTAGTGGTAGATTTCGGTATTTTTCTTCTTTCGATCGAACGATCGATCCTTGTATATTATACTTCATAAAAATGTATATTTCAGTTTCGAATGATCAAGTGTTCGAAAAGGTTTAGATTTCTTTCCGTTGTGCTTTAGAATTCGACGCGCTGCCATAAATTAAAAAATACAGATTTATTATAGTGCCAGAAAGCATTTCGGACACACTAGAAAATGCTATATATATATTTGAAATTCGAGAAATTATTATTATTGCTATATTCTAGAAAATATTTAGAGACATTTCCGCTGAGTCTTTCGGCGTTCATTGGATATTATTATAAAGTATGAAATAGTCTTTATTTAGCGAGAAGTGGAAGATGTTGACAGTTTCTTTTATTGTGAATGCAATGTTTACTTTGAAACATTTTGAGTTTTGTGTCGGAATTTTTTCCCAATCTTTGACCATTTTGTTTCATGTGTAATAGTTGTTTATTTCTTTCATTAAATTTCATTTAACTCCTAACCCAAACTTGTGTTTTCTTTTTCTTTTAATGTTTCTTTATGTTTGTAACTTGTGTGCGTTTAATTTTACCCGTAATATATGATCTTTGATCTCTAGTCTATTATGATCTGTGTGTGCTCGCTTTTTAAGAAAACCTCAGATCACGATTTTCTTGTCTTGAAAAGGAATTGGCCTTCAGCTTCGATTAAGCGTTATTTCGTTTTAACTTACTCTTTATTTACCGGTGAATATTTTAAATATTGTTTYTGAATGAACTCAGAGATTTTTTCTCAAAATTCATCAATTTTAGGACATTTGCACGTTGGTTGTCGGTGGAGTCAGATTTCTCTTATTCTAATTTCATAATTCAAGATCAGCGCCAACAAGAAGGAGATGGACAAGACAAAACACTAACTTGAAGGAAGAGGATGAAACCAGGCTCAAAGCAAAGGTAAAATCAACAATCACTGATAGCTATATATGCTCAATATCTTTCATTGACCAAATTCCTTCCATTTAAATTAAGGAATGTTCCATTTTTTTATCCAACAAAAAAAGCCTGAAGTATTCCCCGTGAAATTCCCAGTTAATGTGAAAGCAAGAAATTGCTAAGCTTAAATGCCGTATTCATCATGTTCAATATCTGTGGGACTGTGGCATGAGGCAGGTGTCTTACCAGAGGCAGAAAGCAGATAATATGAAGGGAAATACTCACTGGAACACCCAAATAACTATATGAACACTARAGATTACCAACAATCTAACATCTCCAAATAGTTCCTCAATAATTTGTCCAGATAAAAGAAAGTACATTGATTGAAGTGAAAAACTATATATCTATTTATATTACAGACAAATAATAATTGTAAGCTAGCTAGTAAGTAATTGCTTTGAGAGTCTTTCCTTTACAAATTCTTGTGGCGTAGCATTTAAGAGATTCAATTTACTTTTGTTGTGAAAAACAAATTTTTCATCTTAGCTTTGTTTTTGTCTAGGGTTAGAAATTATTCATGGAGGCAAGAAGTTTTCATCTACGTATTCTTACTGTCTTTAACTAAATGGCAATTTCCCAATGTAAAGCAATTTATATTTTTTGACTGAAATAAGTGACTGAAATTTAAATTTTAGGTTTGTGATTTGGTTTTGAGTTTGAAATTATTGATGATGAATGCAAGCTGTATTTCTGTAAGCACTTACAAATTAAACCTGCTTTTTGAATAGTGTGAAGGTATTTTTTCTATCTGTTCAGGAATGTTTCACTGTTACCAAGTGCTGTTCAGAAATATTAGATGCTTACAACATTTTRATTTATTTTCCATGGTTTTTAGTTGATTATACCCTGAGGCGATATTTTCTACTAAAGGTAAAAACATAGCAAGATAATACACAAGGCTTTTACATGCTTTCAAATACAGTTTTTAAGCAGGAAAACCGATTTTATACATTATGATGTTTGTAGTTTCATGACAAAGTAATAATATCAACTTCAATTTGGAACTGATCTCAAGTAAAAGGCTCTACATTTTAGTTATTTGTGGCTTTCAGTYTTTGCTGAGAGAAAAGGATAAAGGTTTTATGGTTTCAATTTTTCTACAGCATCACAAGAAACATCCACTTACATTGTACATTTTTATTGCTTACTTGAAGAAAAAAAAATACTGCTTTTCAAAAATAACTAGGTTGTCAGTACTGCCTTAGAATATTAAAGTCTGTTTGGCTGTCAAACACAAAGGGTTGCTATTGCAATGCTTCTTGTCCATACCAAGATAGCACATGTGAAGATAAAAAAACAAGAATGTCTCAGGCTTTCACCTTCAAAAGCCTGAATTTACTCTGTAGGTTTCTAAATTCTCCCMAAAATATATGTTTATGAATGACATTTCTAGGAATTTGTAACGAAAATTATTGTAAAAAGGCAAAATGTTTTGAAGGTTAAGGTAATTCTGTATTGAAACATGCTGCCTGCTTTTATTTGATTGTTTTTAAAGTAAACGGATAGTCGAAGTACCATAGTGAATGAATGTAAGGAATCATTTTTTTCCTCGTCAATTTTTTCTTTGATAATCACACAAATAGGAAAATATAATTTGTCATGGATGCAGCGTCCATGGTAGTGCCAGTGAATGTCTAGTGTAACACCTGCCATTGAACAGCAAGCAATTGGGCCATATACTTGATTATGGTAATATTATCCCAGAGCTACTAGACAAATACCAAAAATTGCATGCAGAATATCTGTATCCTGCACACTCCATCGTCAAGGAAAAACCATTATTGTCTTATGAAGAAAAGGAAGCCATGATAATCCAGTTGTGTTGAATTCTCTTTTGATAATACACATTAAGTGCTAAATCTAATTTTAAACTTTTTCTTTCATATTTGAAGATGAGATTTGCTAGTGTTTCGATGAAAAAGGTTTTTTTTTTTAGAAATTTCCTTACATATCATTACATGATTAAATTGTGTTTAATTTTGAACAAAGCTGAGTATTTTCACATTTTGTAATCAGATCAATTTATCTTTTTACTGATTGGTTTAAATGTTCATTCTCTTAAGCCTTAAAAATCCTTGTAATGATAATATTTTGTTTTTCAATCAAACTAAAAGCATACCATTTATATTTTATTCTTTGCTTTGGATTCTCAATCTCTTAAGATCCCTAAAAGTGATCCTCATTTGATGAATATAGATTATGAGAATTCACAAGTTCAATTTTTGGGTACTTGTTGAATGATACTTTCCATCGTTGTACACTGTATTTATAAACCATTTCACCATACATGTTCTGTGTAATTCTACAAATATATTGAGAGAGAAGTAGTCTTGCTCACTGAATACTCTCATCAACCATCTGTGAYCAAAATACTCCTTATAAATTATAAATTTGTTGAGTCCTAAAGAAACACTGGCAGCTGTCTTTTTAGCATTAATGTGTGTTCTGTGATAGAAAATAAAACCTAAGCTGTCATTTTAGAAGTTTCTGACCTCTGTTTTTCATAGCTGATGGTATTTAAGCACTACAATTACACCATTACAAGTATACAATTTCARAGATTTTGAAAGGGAAAATTCAATGATAGTTTCTGGTATACATTGTTATGTAAATTAAAGAGTCTCAGTAGAGTAAACTACAAATGTGTCATTTAAAATACAAAATTACATTTTTGTCAAACTAGAACTAATTGTGCTTATATAACTCAAAAGAGAAAATGATTGAAAGTATTTCTTCTGATTGTTTTTGGTTGGCTCTGGTGTTTAATTTAAATATTCATTCACATTTATTGAAAAACAGTGARTCATAATCTTTGGTTTTTAAAAAGCAATTGGTGCTTTCTTGAACACCAAGACATTTCATTGGGCAACAAAAAATTAGAAGCAATTTATTACATACAGCTGTGTTATTTATTGTACATGTACCATATCCAAAAATTGTGTTATCTAATATAAATTAAGCTATTTCTCATGGATGTTTTCCAGTAAGATTCACTTTATCTTTGGAATCTAGTTATCTTTAATACATTTAAGGTTGTGAGTCTCCAGGGCTTTTACTGCAAGAAAAATTACTTAATTTTATGATGAAAATTGCTACCCCATGCTATYTCTCATTGAATTAGATTTGTGAATTCACTGTAAAAAGAAACCAATCAGCCATGTATCACATCCTTGAATCAGCCCCTCGCTGTGACTTGGAGTACTTCTCACATTGATAAACTCTAGACAAAGTGAACAAATGGAGCGCTATATTGAAACATTGCGAAAAAAACAGGAGGAAAGCAGGAAAATACCCTTAACATATTTTTAATGATTAGACAAAGGACACATCCATGCTTTGTAGCAATAATAACAACCAACAGACTTAGTTTATAGCAATATGATATTTTTCTTGATTTTTGCAGAGCGTCTTGAGCTAGAGACCAATACCTTWGGTTATATTAATTCCATTCATAAATTCATTAAAGCAAGTAGAGAGGAATGTTTTTCTTTTTCAATTAAGCCTTTTGAATATGAGCAATTTTCATATCTTGTACTTAATATGTATTATGTATATAATTCAAATGGAGAAAGAAATACATTTTGTACATTTTTTTGCTGCCTTACTGAGTAAAAGCAGTGTATCTGATGGTTATTCAAAAAGCATAATTAAAAAGGAAAACATTCTGGAGTTGCTTTGATGAATAAACTATGAAAAGATATAAACAACATGAAATCAAGCTCCACATGAAATCGTTTTGCTCATTATTCAGAAGGAATTGAGAAAGAAAAACATCACATGTGAGTGTATTTATGATAAAAACATAAAATACTACAATTTCAAACACATGAAGTCCATAATGGCAAATAAATTGAAACAATTTCTGTCATTGCATGTAATCTACATTTTCGTTTTTGTTGCAACACCATCACCACAAAAAAGTAAATTCATTGAAATGCCTGTAAATTTTTCAAATGAAATGATATTTTTTTTACATTTTTTTTTACTGGTTTCTGTTTTCACAATTGCTCAATATAGTTTATATAACAAAGAGAATGGAAATTAAAATTTTTAATATTTTTGATGTATTTCCTTTACGTGTTGTTTCCATGTAATGCCTGTTTCTTGACACATTTAGAGATAAATAACGGTACACTATAATACCAAGGTAAAACTTTAAAGGAATGATGTGATTTGAGTGTTGTGTCTACATATACATGCWAAAGAATACTTTTCAGCCAACACTGCAAGCAAAAACCACAACTTTGGTCAAATAGACTAGGATATTGTTTATATACTCTGCCTTGAATTTCTCCATGAATCACTCTCAGTCAGATAAGCCGATTAAATCAATTTTCTTTTGAGTTGTGTGGTTTGATTGTGGCAAAGTGGTTTAATACAAAACTAGGATAAAACAATTATCAGTATTAAAGTCAAATATTGATCAATACAAAGYCTCAACTATAGGGTGACATAATCTTAAGTTCATTGAATCAATATCACACAAAAATCAAACTACGCCAGGAAAACATGAATTTATTCAAATAGTGATTTTCTCAGATAAAGATTATTATTACTAAAATGTCTATTGGGAAATGGATTTTATATTTATTTCATCTATCAGGGCTTTTTCTACTTTATGTCATTCCCCTTGGAAATACAAAGATTTTGTCTTAGGTTGTAATACTTTAAAATACACTCAATATTACTGTATAATCTATTTTTATTGAACTTTGAAAGCTCTGAACCATATAACTATGCTGGTTTGTAATGTTTAATTTCATTCTATTTTTGTTCAACAATTTCTTGCCTTAAATGGTTTATTCATATTGTCATCTCTTTTTTCATTGCTTTCTGGTGCTGTTTGTGATGTTTTCTTATCTCAYCATAACATACTGACACTTAATTAACACTACATAACTTCAATGACCACACCCATGCTCAAAAACACAGACACCCTTCAGCTTTYGCCAACCTGTGGCTTTTTGAGATAGATGCAAAGACCMCTCAAGTCAAGCAACATGTCTCATATAAACAAGAAAGTCTTTGATAAAGTTTATATACTATTAAAAACCTTTGCACTGGGTGGCTGTCTATTGCCAAAAACAGTAGTTTCTCTGCATGGCTTTAGGAAGAGCATACTTCTAATGATAAAACTAGTAGTGTGAAAAGTTAGCTCTCTGCATGCCTGTAGGATGTGCATCCTCTCTATGTATAGCCTCTCTGTTTGCCGCCAAAGTGTARGTGTCAATGTTGATGACTAGTTTAGTATGCTGCAGTGATCATGTGTTTTCAGTACTGAATTCTAGTTTATGCAGAATTTGATCTCCTGAACTAGAAGTTTAACACTTTGCTTCAAAATTAATTGATTGAATTGAGGTGTAACTTAAGAACTTGGTTATTGGAGTATTTGATGACTAATTAGCACTCTATATCCCATCTATCTTCACTTTAACAGTAAAAACAATTTTTTTTATTATGGTTCAATGGAGTCTAAATTTTATTATGTAAAATGAATGAATTAGGATTATATATAATTTATTGCKAACTGCACATCAATTTCTTGTAATTTGTTAAATACACGTTAAGTTTTTAAGATCAAACTACAAATACAAGGTTTTTCATTTAGAAAAAGGGTTATTTTTCAGACAAAAAAATCGGTCAATAGAATACAAATTATAGACTTTGAAACTTCATAAACCTCAAAAACATCAATTTTTGCTAGGGAGTTTATTTTTGAGTACTGTCATAGCATGCCACTTTTTCAAGTTAGAAAGTCCAACATGGTGCAGCCCAAAAATAGTATTAGTAAAAATGTTAGTAAAGATTTAAAATAGTGCTTAAAGTAATGATAGAATRAAACTGCCAACAATTTACTATGCTCACGTCTAAAGTATTATTGAGCATTTCATGCTGTTACAGTGCCTTCCTTAGTGAATCCAGTGCATTGAACCAAGGCATCAAGCTAAGCACAACACAAGTCTTTTCATTTATCGTACCACTGACGCCTTAGTCCAATGCTTTGCTTGTGATCTTTGAATCTGTGCATGGAAAGTTTAAAATAATTATCATCATCGCCATAATTGTTATTATAACGATCAATATTATCATTTTATTTTATTCAGATTAAAAGCTCTGACAATAAACCTTTTAGTTCGGTTGTTTTATGGCCTAAAATGAACACGCGAAACAAAGTTTAATAGTYAAATTGTAATGATGTACATCGAAAAGGCAAAGAAAAATCTGCAAAATATAATTAAGATGTAGTACGGCAAAGAGTGTTTCACTATAATGGTAGGTATTGCCTCTAAAARTAATCCACGGCATACCAGYATAAAGTCTGCTTTCAAAATGTCAATATAATAAAGCACACTTTTGTACTTATTTATTATTTGATTTTCTATGTATTTTTAGTTAAAGCTCGCTGTCAGTTAATGATTTTGGCAAGTTGATGCTTAAAGCTTAATGGAACAAAAGTGAACGATTTATTAACGAGATTTCTAGAGATTTTTTTGAACTGATCGCAGATTTTCAATATTTTACTATATCAAACAGAAACAAAGAGATTTTGGACAAAAACTTTGTCTGATGTTTTCGTCAAAGTCAGGTCTTTGTTATTCTTGCTTTTRTTCTTTTTGAGTTACTACAATCRAACGACAGCCTTTTTGAATTGATTAAATTCACTATTCATTTTTGATTGCCTTTTGSCTAAAAAGATTTCTGTGACGGAATAGWATTKCTCCGTTKTAACATTGAAAACTGTTACGATGTGATTATAATCAAGATTTTCACATTATAGAATGTGCACATGTTGCTGGCTTAGTGCATTTTCCGGCCACACCCCTCCAAATTGGCGCTTTTCATTTTCCATCCCAGTTAATTCTCTTCGCCTTCGTCAACAAGTTCTTCCTGAAACGAATTGCTTGTTAGTTCGGAGCCTATRCCAACTAAAAGGTTGGCGGTAAATTCTTGACAAAATTGTTTTTTATTATTATTTCACAAATTATATTATTTTGTTCGAAATTGAATAATAAATTAGACGTTTTGGGGTCAATTATCTATTACGACTCGTAATGATATTATTTCTATGATATAGAATAATTTTGAACCAGATGGGTTTTTTTTACATGTACACTAATCGTCTTAGGAATTTTTCATGAAAAATTCTTGCTTTTAAAATCCTTATTCAAAGGCGATTTAAGTTTAAGAGACCGGCAGTAAAATGTCCAATTTWGTATGCGTCGAAATTCCAGTGAAAAGTCTTAAATCTTTAAGCCTCCTTACGAACGGAATAAAAACATGAAGACGAACACAAATCCTGAAACTTCATGGTTATTATTTCAAGGMTGTTAAGCCAGAAAGAGCTTGGGAAAAAATCCGACTTTGCAAAGCAGAAATTCCAGTGTTTGATAATCATGCTTACCGAAACCAAAGGCGCTCTCAGCAGCAAAATACGACAACAACACAGCTAATGATTAAAAACCTGATTTGAAAGACCATTTTAAGCAGAAAAAAATGCAAGTAAAACAAAATTAGGAGTTCAGTTAGTCTTTTAATTCGGGCAGAATTGGTTTAAGATAGTTTAGCCTTTAAATAAAAATCGTGAACTGAAGACTATTTGCCATTTTACAAGCGAACTCTCCAATATACATTCAAATCAGACGAGTCACTTCCCAAAACCTACTTTAATTTTTGGATTATATTTCTCTAATTGGAAGCTTGGCATTTCATTAGTGCCAAGTCCCTCCTCTAAAGGAAATGAAACCTCCAAGAGAATAAAAATACCATCAGAAATTGTTGCAACAAACAAATTTGTGTAATTTAGTTTCCACAGGCCGGTCTTAGTCACCTGTTTTGAGTATTTCCCCTCTCAGGAATTTCCTTTTTCTGTAAACATTTTGTGATGGGTTTTTGTTGCCTAAGTGTTGAGTGAAGGAATTTTACTTTCTTTAATTGTGTCAAGTTTGAAAATGTCATCTCATAGCAAACAATTTCAAAGTACGAGTTTTGCTTCCATATTTATAGTGCCGTTTGTTTGTTAGAACTCGTATTTTTAATTACATTCTATTCTATTCGCGTTCAAATGCAATATTAAATACACTGAGGCAAACAGTCAATTATCTTTTTGCAGTTGTTTGCAGTGGAAAGCTTATTTTCTTCAACTCGTAATAAAAGATCTTGACATTTTTCATGTTTAGTTTTAAAGGAATTAAGTTCATATATTTATAGGTGCCAAGGTTAATATTTCAAAAGAATGAAACCACACTTTTCTTGCTTATAAATTGCCTTTCTTGACAATTATYGACACCAAAAAGCAAGTGTTCAATATTTAAAGATATGAAGAAATGAATAGCCGGCAACGTTTCGCGCCTTTATGTCTGGAGTTCGAGGCGGTGTCTGCGCGCGCGCATTTCACAGATCGCCGTACATATATCTTGCGGGGAAAAAGGACGAGTTTTTTATTTAATTTTGAATAACACCGTCTAGAATTCTATAATCTTTGAGATCGGCTTCAATGCGTTTGACGAATATCCGCTTGGATGCCCCTGAATTTGAGTGTAATATAGTAATAGTTCCAAACTACTGTTTATGGAAGCGAGTTTCGTTATATTTCAGTTTCTCATAAACCGGGAAGGACATCTATTTTTCTCCAAAAACTATGGTCTCATATATCTTTTTAAAAAATATGGTTAGCAATCAATGATTATATTTTACTATTTGTTAAAACAAAAATTCCTTTACTTATCGTTGCAATATAGCTAAGTCCCTACAAAATAGCTGGATTCTCAAAATAACACGTCAAAAAATAAACCAAAAATGATGACAACAAAAGTGCCCTTTGACAAATAATAGACTATTTCTGACACTGTTTGAAAATATTCCTAATTGAATTTGCTCACTACCTCCTAGGACGTATGTTTACGAAATCCTAGTTTTATATGTTTTCGCTCGTGCGAGCTCGTTGAATGCCCTGCTAGGTAATTAGGCTTCTCTCAGCGTAAACACAAATGGCATTATATTTTTTTTGACTTAATGTTGAATTTTCATTCCTGCTGTAAAGGAAATGACACTGTCAGGGCATTGCCCCACGGTACTGTGTTTATATTCGGTATTCTCAGCGAAAACATCCTTCATGAACAATTAGTTGTACAATGACATAGGCGACGACATGTTGTGTCGCTGTCAAAGCTGTTTTCTTCGTATTTCTTCATAAAAAGCCTCCGCTATTTTTGTTGATAGCTTTGTGTTTTAAAAGGAATGGTTTTTATTTAGTATCTGTCTCTTTAAAACGGCAGAAAGTTAATTCAAAAATCAAAGAGCAATTTTTGGCTAAAAGTCATTGAGTTGTGTTAGTGGGAGGGCGAGCGAGTAGTGCTTGCTTACACTAAGCCAATTCAAAAGCTTTTAAAGAAAATTATTTCTGGACATCTTGAACCACCATTTTGTAAGGATCTTTTGTGATTTTGTTACTCTACAAAGACAACACTTAAAACACTTTATTAGTGACGTGGGACTATCCATGAATCAAGTACGCGGTCAGGAATTTTGGCGGCCATTTTGACTCGGAGTGGAGCAGCTTCGTCGCTTTCTTATCACTTAATGCCTTTTTACTTCATTGAAAAAAGACCTTTTTATAATTTAGTTCTTTGTGCCAATACACAAAGGATATAAATATGTTAATCTTAAAGCAAAATAATACAGCATTCTTGAGATCAGTTAAATTTAAATTCTTTTTTTTTTTTTTTTGCTTAATTCATTAATTCGCAAAGGAATTAAAGAAATGAATAAACGTCTAAATCTTCTCGTCTTTGAATATAACAGAAAACTGGTGAATTTTCAATGCAATGTAAACATATTTCAGGAAAAATTATAAAATTATGTCGTAATAAGCAAATGGGTTTATTTTATTACTTCGTCTTCTCGTCTGAAAATGCGTTATCCTCTCTTCAAGATTAAGTAGCTCGCTGATGACTTTTAGGCGAATAATGATTAATCCTTCCATTTTCTATATCGTAGATTAGTAAAAACTCATTTCTGACGCCAAGGAATTTGACTAATGCTTTCAACTCTCGCCATTAAACCTGGCTATAGACTRTTTCATGCGGAATTCGAGTCAATGGGTTCTCTAATCCCGCCCCTGGAAGCTAGTTAATGTAGCTCAAGACATAGGACAGCTATGTTTTACGCAATTACTATCAATTTAATTACCGACTTTTTAAATTGTTTAATTAAAACACTTTTGCTTTACTCCGCTTTCTGCGTATACCTTAAAAGAATTTCTACTGTAAGTTAAAAAATATCAATGAACATTCACTTTACCGAAGCAATCAGCTTGTTTTACAGTCATTGTGTTCACTATTAGCGATAAAGTCTCCTATCTTCYCTTAAATTGTCCGTAAATAGAAGACAGTATTATAATACTGTCATGTCTACCATTATATGCAACGCTGCTTTTGACTATCTCTGATGAGATTTAGGTCAACCTAAAGATTGCTAATTTTGGCAAATACGATTTTTATCGAAAAGTTCGGCTTAAATGGAATCATTTAGAACCACTACTGGTCATATTAAACCTTTATCGACACTTTCATATAAACCGACAACAATATCGAGATTTCTTTAATTGTAGCAATGCAGCCGGTAAAATTCGCTTTAGCAATAATATTATGGAGTTTTCCTGTCTTTTTGTCATATGTAGGGCGGTGATGTCTTCTTGTCTTGGCTAAACACTTTGTCATTGTCATTTGCTCTCTGCTTGCTTTTTATATTTTCCTTTGTTTATTCGTCCAATCCCATCCGTCATGTCATTCATTAATCCATTTAATTCTCATCTATTCATTTATTTTTCTTTTAACATTCTATTTTTCATTGATTTATTTATTTGTTCAGTCATCACCGTCGCTTGCTAACTGCTCTTTCTACCATCCGTTTTCAATCTTTCATTCATATTATATATTGAGTCTCTAATTCGTTAAGCCCTGTAGGTTTAACCATTAATGAATCGATTCTTGAAGCAATCTTTTATTTATTCTTGTATTCSTTCTTTTATTTCCAACTACAACAATTGCTCCAAATAGCTTTTACTTCGAGATGTACAAAATTGATAAAACGTTGTCGGTTTCAAAAAGGGTTCTAAGGCCGAAAGGAATCATGGGAGTGCAAGACAATATAATATGATGTGTTTTCAGACAGTTTCCGAAAACCGTCATTGTAATATGATAGCTTCCTCTACAGAAAAATGTTAATAATATGCATATTTGAGCAAATGTGAGTCCAATTTTCAAATATCTAAAAATYTCCTTCGCTTTTAGCTTTAAATGAAAGTTTTTTTCAATAGCCGACTTRCGAATTTTGCCTCARTCGTCAAACACAAAGGAATCAAGACGAGGCGCCGTGCATAAAGCTCAGTCAGTCGTGAAAAGACAATAGTTTTTCACAATTGACTAAGCTTTAAGCACGGCGCCTCGTCTTGATTCCTTTAGTGTGYTTTACTACCGAGGCAAAGTATATCAACATGGAGACGTTTAGCTTCAAACTTTATACGATAAAMTATATATCTTAATCAGTATTGTGACCGAGCCAACTATAAATGTACATAGCTTTCTTCAAATTTCTGAGAATTTAACAAGTAGCAGTGTTATTATGTTTTCGTCGGTGAATTGTCAACCATTTCGATCACATCTAATTTTTGATTATCATTAATGGGTGTTTTGTTTTTCTAAAAAAAAAACGATTATATTTGCCTTATCACAGTAATAAGTATTCCAGCCAGATATGATATTGTTCTTGCGTCAAGACTCCTTTTGCTATTGTGAACGAATTGTTTTGACGAGACTGTGATCGCACTGATGCCCATTAAAAAAGGGTTGCTCCCTTTTAATTGTTTATTAATGGAAAATGAGACCTTATCGACGCCATATTCTGACTAGATGTAAAAATATAGCCAGCGTATGATTGGGTAGATGAATAGATGGTGTGTCCATTTCTAAAGTAACCCCGTCACCATCACACTCGCGGATAATCTATTTTTAGACAACCAATCACGTCGCAACTTGTGCAGATATAACACAGCACCTGATTGGATGGAAATCTTTGAAAGAATAGAGAACCAAGAAAATGGAATGTAGTTTAATTATTTTGAAACATATTTTTACCAAAAAAGAGTACATTTCTCAACGCGAATTCACTACATTTATGTTTCCTTGTCTCAAGATTTGAAACAATCAGGTGCCGTGTTATATGTGCGTGAGTTGTGATTGGTTGTTTT